CTTGAAGAATAAGGGGACAAAGTTTATATGGGACTTTCATTCATTATTAAATTAATTTGTTCATTGAACAAGTAATTCTTGACCTAATTTCTTCCAAGACACAGGGACTTAAAAACTGTCTAGAAGAGCAAGAGTGTAATTAAACAAATATGGGAAAGTGTTACAGGTTGTGTAATACAGTCTCCTGGGAGAGTGCTTCTGGTAACTCAACACCTAGACGAGCATGAAGCACATAGTAGGGACTTAGTAAATATTTGTCGAATGGATTAATGAAGAGTTCATTGGAGAGGTGGAACAGAAGGGCCTTCTAATCAGAGGTGAGCAGAACAGGCCAAGATTTGGGAAACTGCTGATGGCCTAGGAGGGAGGATGTATATATGGGTGTGGGGAGGGCTGGGGACACTTGGTGAGAAGTTAGTCTGTTGAAATAAACCTGAGTCAGATCTGGAATGCTAGGAGTTTTATTTTAGTTTTGTTTTTTTAATTTTTCTTCAAGAATGATCTCCAGCTAAAGGCAGGATAGAGGAGAAGCCTAATGTGTATGATGCACCAACTCATTTGACACACCTCATCTTACCTAATACTCCCAATCATCCTCTGCAGCATTGATCCCATTTTCCATATAAAAAAACTGAGACTCTGAAGGTTGAACAATTTGCCCAAGATCACTTGTCTATGAAAGGAAACTCCCATTCTTCTTAATTCAATGAAATCCTCATTCTAAAAGATTGGCAATGAGGGAGAACATGGAGAACGGAGCTGGTACCTGCAGTTCCTAGTCTTGTCATCATATCCTGGAGGTTCACTCCCAAGTCTCCACTCAGCCACCTTGACTCCTCATGTAGCCTTGAGGGCACAGAGAACAGGTTGAAAGTTGTAACAAAGCTATGGGGTAACATTTAGGATATAAACATAAAAACATAAGCCATAAATTATTGTCGATGGCCTTTGGCAGTGAGAACTCATGCAGATCTCTCTTCGCTTACCTCTGGCCTGCTTCCTGTGACCAGAACATCTTTAACTCCTACCACCAAGAAGATTTTTAGATGCTAAAATTCCTGCCCAAGAGAGCGGACGCCCACAGAGAAACTGGTTGTTTCATATTCTCCCTCCTGAAGACTTAGTTTTATTCAAAGTATTTAATGTGCTTCGGGTGGTGTCTGCCACATGGTAGATGCTCATGAATATTAGCTGTTATTATTCACCTTGGCTTCCATTTTTGACAGTCAAGCTCTCCCACAAGGTTGAACATGAGACACCATGCTTTATGCTCATGGCCTTACAGATTCAGTGTGATAATCCTATCAACATAAAAATGGATTCAATATTCACATAAGGGATAGGGCCAGGCAGTAACAACGCAGTCGTTTTATTATAGGATTATTATGAGTTGAGGTTGATGCTCAGGTATGTTTGTCTCTCGTCGTTTCCTGGGCTTTCACTAGAAAAGAGGGTGAAAGGAAAAAGACAACCTATGTCCAAGTTTGTAAGGAGATCATGAGAACACAGCAGCCGTTTAACAATCTTTCTGGTGCATAGACAATTTTTTGGCTCCTGAGAGAAGATGGGGAAGAGATTCTAAATACCTATTAGAAATATTTTAATATGGAAAATTAGAGGAGTTTAAAATGACAGGCAAGTGATCAATTTTTGGAAGAAAAAAGACACTTTTTGACCCCTGGATGGTAAGTTCCATTTCATTTCTCAATAAGAGTCTAATACGGATTTTTTAAAAAATGATTTGTGAGCATCTGCAGAGGAAGCACACACCCTGCTAAAATCCATCTCTCCAAGCTCACAACGAACAGGCTGGGCGGGCCCAGGTCCATGTCTTCTGGGCTGGACTGCCAATTGGATAGCTCAGGAGGTCATGCATTTGTATCTCAGCCATGAATCCTAATACAAATTCATTTTTATCTTAGTTCAGTGCCTGTTGTGTTTCAAGCACTATGATAAGCACTGGGGCTAACCGAGCTAAAGGAGTTCAGTTTTATGATGTCAAAATTATTTTATGGTGTTTGTCTCAAATAGATGCACACAAATGGTTGGAAATTGATTAGTTACATTAATAACTGATTTAATAAATATACATTTCTATGACGTTGCTTATACATTTTTGAATAAACCAAAAATGATGAGAAAATATTATTAGTTGATGGACCTGTTCAAAAAGATGATTTTTTTTGTGACAAAGACCAAAATTGAGATGAATTGTAAAAATGAAGAAGTCCTACACTCTTTTCTACTTATTTTAAAAATGTAGTTGTTTGTATGTGTGTATATTTGTGAATGTGTGTGTGATAAAGATTTAGTATTAATGCATAGATCTTTACCATAAACCATTGAGATATAAATAAAATAAATAAAACCTTCCTGAAAAGATTCCTCCTCCTCTCCAAACAACGACGTTGTCACCGACAACCACTGCTGCACAACCACAAACACACTAATCCTGGGGGAGGGGGTGTGGGTGAGCAGGAGAGTGTGTCTAGGGTGGCCAGAAGCTTGTTATTACAACCTCTATGTTCTTCGTTCTAATGAATCATTTTTTCCTACTACCTCATGAACTCATGTAGATCGGGGCCTGTATATTGTAACCTTAATATCTTATAAATGCCTGGACCCTCACAAGTTCTCAATATGCACTTCTTAAAGGTGTATTTCCCACCTTCCTAAAAAAAACCTTAATTTGATCGGATATTGCATTGATTATAGAATAGCATCTGTGTTCATTTCCTGTTGCTGCTATAACAAATTAACACAAATTTAGTGGCTTAAAACAACACAAATTTACTATCCTACAGTTCCAGAGGTCAGAAATCCCAAAATGAAGGTGTTAGTAGGGCTGTGTTCCTTTCTAAAGGTTCTCAGAGAGAATCTGTTCTTTCTTCTTCCAGCCTCTAGAAACTACCCACATTCCTTGACTTGTGGCCTCTTTCCTCCATCTTCAAACCAGCAACTCTTCAACCCTTTTTCTGAGTCACATTTGTTTCTCTGACCATTCTGTCAGGAAAGATTCTCTTCTTTTAAGGACTGAAGTGATTAGATTGGGCCTACCTGTATAACCCAGGATATTGCCATGTAAGGTATCATATTCACAGATTTTGTGATTATGTTTAAGATTAGGGTGTGGACATCTTTGGGAGGCCATTGTTCTGCTTATCACAGCATCCAAATAAGAAAAGTGGTGGTATTAAGTTGTTCTCCTATACCCCGGATATTTTGCAATGCCTCACTTCAATCAAGTACTTGAAAATTGTAGCAAAAAACCAGAACAGCAAGGAGATTTGGAGTTGTGCCAGTCTAAGGGAAGCTTAAAGGAACAGGATGTTTAGCTTAGAAAAAAGAAGACCTATATTTTGGGGTGGAGTGGTGGTTGCGGTTTGAGGAGGCATGAGATGATTGCTTCTTCAAAATATCAAAAAGTTCTGTTGCATGACAAAGGGTTTAAATTTGTGCTGTGCAATCTCAGAGGACAGAATAGGGTTAATACTGGAAACTTGAGAGAAGCAGCTTTGGGCAGAAATTAAGGCAGAGCTGTGTGGACATTATTGATGTCCTTAAATGCAACAGGCTGGAAATGGTATGGCTTGATGAATGGAGATGTCAGCATTAGGTGAGGGATCAGCTGAGACGTACTCTCAAAGTCCATTTAACCCTCACAGTCACTGATTCTATGACTTAAAATTCCATCCACGACCTTTGGGCACCTCCAGTTGCATATAGCCAGAGATGGGCAGGGCCCTACATCCTTGCTAAAGAGTCATCTTTTTTTGCCTTCTCCAAATCGGTATCTAAGAATTGAGCTATCCCATGCCAAACAAAAGAAGTGGTGATGGAAGCTGTTAGAGTTCAGATGTTTCTTTAGAAGATACAGTCACCCATGTTGCTATTGAGAATATAAAAAACAATAGCCAGGGGCTGGCCCCGTGGCTTAGCGGTTAAGTGCGCGCGCTCCGCTGCTGGCGACCCGGGTTCGGATCCCGGGCGTGCACCGATGCACCGCTTCTCCGGCCATGCTGAGGCCGCGTCCCACATACAGCAACTAGAAGGATGTGCAGCTATGACATACAACTATCTACTGGGGCTTTGGGGAAAAATAAATAAATAAATAAAATTATAAAAAAAAAAACAATAGCCATAGGCACAGGACAAGTTTTACAATATTACACAAATACTTAAAAAAATACTCACTGGCATATTCAGACGTGAAAAGAAAAACGAACTGGAGAGACAAGGCATGAAGAAAGTGTAGATTCCTTGCTATTAGGTGGTATGGGTATCAAGTATGACTCCTAATTTGAGGAAATTGGATATTTAAAATGAAGAAAACAAAAGAAAGAGTAGACCAGATTCTTTCGTCTTAATCTAGAAAACAGTATATTTTTAAGACTTTTTTTCATCAGTTCACTTTTGGGAGGAGCATTTGGAATAACTTGTACAAGATCTGGGAGCTGCTGTAGAAAGTGCTGTTTTTATGTCAATAGTGTATGCTGCATAAAGGCACTCTTTCTACACTTTAGTTTATTTTGCCATATTCTTGATCTTTTAAGTATACATCTGAATGTCTAGGTTATAAATCTGAACTGTACTCAGTGTTATGTTAGACCATTTGACCCATAAATTATTTTCTATCCCAAAAATGTCCAAAAGGAATTAAAAAATTAATTAGACCTTCAATTGTATTCATGAGAAGTCTTTGTGGTTCCTTCTAGCCATGATTTATATGACTTCAAAGAGAGTCCTGAGTGTCTGTGGGGTTGTAATGGTCATTGTAGAGTAAAAGGAGCTTGTTCAGACACTTAAGACTTTGGGCCAATACTGTCAATGACTTCATACTATTTCATCTTCTTTCCACTTCTATGGATTACCCAGAGCAATAATGATAATTCTAGCCAGCTCCTGATCCTTCTCTCTACAGTCAGGGGAAGGTCAGCTATTTTTTGATCCCCATGGGAGAGAGCTCCTCAATCAGTATCCTAAAATAGCCAGCCATTCTCAGCTGCTGAGCTGGAGTCCCTCCAGGGGAGAGCAAAGGGGAGTACAGATCCTCCAGCTAGGAGTGAGTGAGAAGCCATCAACACATGAACTAGGAGAGGCTTCTCAAGAAGATTCCACTTGTTCAAAAATTTTTATTTTTATTTTTTGGTTGAGAGGCTAGGTGTCTGCTATTTTTAAATTCTTATTTTATTTAAAGGGAAACCAGTGACTTGAAAATGAGACTAAATATCGCCATCTTCTTTGGGGCTCTCTTTGGTGCTTTGGGGGTTTTACTCTTTTTGGTGGCTTTTGGATCAGATTATTGGCTACTTGCGACTGAAGTGGGAAAGTGTTCAGGTGAACAGAATGTGCGTTTCTTCTTCAAAATATTGATGTATTTGGTACTGATAAGGATAGGCTTATGTATCCTCTTAAAATCAGAGAATAGCAGTGGAGTGTCTATTTCTTCATAGAAGAGATACATAGAAAGCTACCGATCATCATTATTTGGGATAAAATACAATTGCTTAAAAATTCTCCTGGATGTAATAATTTAGATTATGTTCCTTGTGTTGACAGCAAGTTACTTCGTTTGTGTTCTGTGCAGATAGAGAATGTCACTTTCCACCATGAAGGCTTCTTCTGGAGGTGTTGGTTTAATGGGATCGTGGAAGGGAATGATTCCAATATCTGGAAGTTCTGGTACAGTAAGTGCAATTTAGCTTTATTTTCCTTCTTTAAAATAAAAATGAACAACTTCTTATTTAGTACATGTCACTTACAAGATAGGATTAGATTCCTAGTTGTAGAATCTCAGTAGGATGTCTTCAAAAGGTTGATGAAGTGATTCCTTTTCAGTAAGTAGAAGTGGCTATAGGAATAATTATTTTATTCTAACGTAAAATAGGAGTCAGGATATTTACAGCGAAACTGAATTATCTGCTGTTTATCTGCTCACACTTAAAATACACTAACCCTAACAAACAAAACAGTTGTTATCTGTAATATTTTTTCTGAGTGTCTGGTGTTGCTATGTTGCACACAAGTGTTTTAATTTTTTTGGCTATAAACCCTTGAAAGCTCAAATTTAAAAATCTAGAAATAGAGACGTATTATTTTATATTCGTGGCTTCGAAGTTGAAAAAAATCTTTTTCATAATGAAACTTAATTACCGGCGGCAGCAGATGACAGCTTGCTCTATTTGGGCTGAAACCAGGTTGTGGCCAATATCAAGAAATGCCTTGCTTTTGATGTTTATATCCTCTCATAGAAACTTGAAAGTTCTTTTTTGAAATAGAATAGCTTCTTAAAAATACAATGTGTTCTTTTAACTGTATTTCCTATATTGTATTATTCTTTGAAAATGTATTTATTGAAAATAGCTAGCCTTTATCTTATTGCATCCAACAACGAAAGAACTGTTTATTACCCTAAAGCTTATTGTGGGTTGAAATTATTAGTCTCTTTATCAAATACTCCTGTGATAAATCAAAGTATGGTATTTATACAATGGTCAAGATTATGGGACTATATAATAAAAATATGAAATCACAGAAGACTTAAGCAAACTGATGGCAAGTTGGCATATGTAAAAGGAACAAAGTAACGATAAAATGACATTTTGAGAATAATTGATAGACTACCTTAGAGTCACTTTGGGGGGGAGAGTAAGCCTGCAGTCTGCCAGTGAAAATTATTTAGACTTTGGTAAAGTGGAGTAAGTCAGACTGTGCAAGAGGAAGATCTTGCCAAGGACTTAGAGAAAGGAATAATATTTCACTCCTCCTTAAAAGGTACACAACGAAATCTTCAAGTTTTCAAACCGCATAGAAGTTCTTTCCTGTAGTTTCTTCAAATGCTAAAAATGCATTTGATTTATTAACTTGTATTTCCATCTTTTCCCTAAAAATAGAATATAGAAGAAATTGTGTATCAATTGGAACTGATCAAGTTTAAATCTAAGTTTTTTAGATTTTGAATACGATTATTTTTGGAATACTTTCTATGTGCTAGGCATTATGTTAGGAACTGGAGAGTATGGTTGTGAAAATAAATGAAATATGGTGCCTTCAATTTTAAGGTGATATTAAGGACATTCTCTGCACTGAATTATGTCATGAGCTAGATGTTTTGGATGCCTCCCCTTTCCAGGTCCCCTGGCCTTCTCAATATGAGTTTTTTTAGGAAGTGCTTCCCCCTCACTCAACGATTCTCTGAATTTATTGATCTAACTGGCAATTTTATTTAGGTTTACTGCTTTTCTTACAGTCTACTAATTATAAATGCTAATCACATCTAAAAAGTACCTTTACAGAAACATCTAGATGAGTGTTTGACCTAACAACTAGACACCATAGCCTAACCAAGTTGATGCATAAAATTAACCATCACAGAACTTGTGTACCCCCAGATCCCATATTTCTGTTCTATTAGGAACTAGAGTCTTCACTCAGCTTCCAATAACAAATACCGTTGTTTTGGTCTCCTTCCTAGCCAACCAGCCACCGTCCAAGAACTGCACGCACGCCTACCTGTCGCCATATCCCTTCATGAGAGGCGAGCACAATTCTACCTCCTATGACTCTGCAGTTAGTAAGTACCTCTGCCCTCAGAATGCCTCTGAGAGGGACTTGTCTTTCTGAAAGATGTCCACCACAAAATTTTTGTGGGCAACTAAAATATAGTTTAACATCTATAACTTCAACATTTTCTCTGATATCAATCTGCTATATATAAAAGAATAGGATATCATTTTTAACAAATCATTTATAATTCTAATAGAATATAACTTTGGTCTAGAAGTAAAGCCATTGTAATTTAGTTGTTACTTATAATGTTTTAGAACTGTGTTTTCTGATATGGAAATAGTGATGTTCATTAGGAAGAATTGCTTCATAAGGGTTTATTTTAACTGACCTAAAACTAGTGTTACAGTTGAAAATATTGTAATATACACCCTTCTTTTAGAACACTTTTTTGAAATTGTTCCACATGAGACTATGACTATGCTACTGTATTTCTACAACATGACTGGACTTTGTTATGTGTGATAGCCCATAGGGTAGGCAGATGCTAACTGGGAGTTGTGATTACCTAGCTTCTTTTGTATTTTCATACTATTTGTTCTATAAAAAGTATATAAACTGAGTTTCTATGGAAAGTACAAAATATGTAGTACATAAATCTAGTTTAATAGAAAGTACATAAGCTCAATATGTCAACTTAATTCTCAGCTGGTTTCATGAAGTTTTTAATAAAGGGTGTTTATCCTAGTCTTAAAACCAAGGATTTTGTACAGAATTTACCAATGTCACAAACAGAGCAAAAAAATACTTGTTTTTCAAAGAGAGTACCTAATGTATTTAACGTTCTGAATAAACTTATATTAGTCAGGATGCTCCAGAGAGTCAATAGGAGGTATATAGGAGGGAGGGTGGTGGGGGTGGGGGTGGGGCAGAGAGAGAGAGAGATTGATAGATTGATTGATTGACTGAGGGAGAGATATTAAAGAATTGGCTTATGTGACTGTGGGAGGCTGGCAAGTCTGAAATCTGTAGGGCAAGCCTGCAGGCTGGAGATTCAGAGAAGAGATGATATTGTCGTCTTGAGTCTGAAGGCTGAAAACTCTGGTAGACTTTCTGTGTTGCAGTCTTGAGGAGAATTGAACCTTCTTCAGGAAACCTCAGTCTTTGCTCTTAAGGCCTTCAACTGATTGGATAAGGCCCACCACCATTATGGAGGATAATCTGCTTTACTTATAGTCTACTAATTATAAAAGCTAATCACATCTAAAAAGTACCTTTACAGCAACATCTAGACGAGTGTTTGACCAAACAGCTAGGCACCATAGTCTAACCAAGCTAAAATGAACCATCACAGAACTTAGCAAATCTTTACATCCTTCATCCATTTTTTCATCTTTCTGTAAAATATGTATTTCCATAAATTATAATTTTGTCTTAAGTTTGTCAAAGAATATAGCATTTGCTTATATCACATCATTAACGTGACATTTTCTGGAGCGGGTGTGGGGTCTGGATGGGAAAAGAGATGAGCTGACACGTAGCCCTGCTTATCCGTCAGGGTTGCTTGTGCTCAGAAGGACTGTGGCTGTGGGTCTTGAAAACATGTGTGGTGTGGATGCTGTTTCCCATTAAAAACTGCAGGAGGCATCTCATTCACATGTGTCAGAGCCTCCTGCATCATGTATGATAGGACCTTCTCACTGATGAGAGAAGAGATGGCATAGCAAAGAGCAAGATAAACCATTTTATGTTACTAAAAGTTATAGAAAAGTATCCCTTCCCTACATTCTTACTTTTGTCAAATGAACTAAGAAGTAGTCCAAGGTTGCCTTTCCAGAACATGAGGTATTCGCATAAATATTAGTATTGTTGTTGTTGATATTCATATGTTGAGGTCTTGTGATGAGATAGGTATTATAGGCACCATATATTTTTAAATGAATCTACATACTTGGAAAGTCTGCCCCTTAAGGAGAGAGTGGGGAACTTGAAAAACAAGATAACATAATATATACATAATAATCATGATGGAGATGGATAGTAAATGCATGTCAGAAAAAATTATGCTGCAATTACACTTAGAAGTATTATGCAGCACTGCATATAATTGTGTCATGTTTTGGATCTAGTGACAAAACCATATTCCAATATGTTTTCTTAATTATCAAACTCCTCTTTGGCACACATATTGTAACATTCACTTTAAGCCACCTCATCGAACACTTTTAGTAAAAATGACTGAGATAGGAAGAGGTATGTCATGCAACAGAAATAGTATATGCACATTTCATTTATCTTTATAATAACGTACGATGATCTCAGACATTATATTTGGGTGATTTTTTTTCTATTGTTTTCTTTACGCAAGAGAAGGGCATGGATTTCGTCAAAAGGATTCTACCTGACTGAAAGTGTGTGTTTTTTAGTTAATGAGACCACGTAGTCTTCACTAGACTCCAGAACCACTCTTTGGCTTCATGTAGCTTCATAATTATCAGGCGTTATACATTTGCCAATTTATCTTGGGTAAATTCAAAGTATTTCTTCTAAAATCTGATGTATCCTGGCCTGGCAAATTATTGGTAAAATGGCTTTGTATTCCCCTGAGTTTTTACAATTACAATTAGCCAATATTGAAATCAGTGAGAATAATATAGTCGTATATGATTTTTCTGGAAACAACTATTTTAGAATCATTGGATGATAGTGATGAAATTATTCCATTTCATAATATGGAAACTGAGTCTCAGAGAATCCATGTGACTGTTTTCATACAGCTGATCATTGGCAGAACTAATGCAAAGGGCCAAGTTTCCGGATTTTTTTATTGATAATTTTTATAAACTAAAGTGAATGGAAAAGCTAATTTTAGTGCTTACTATTAAATCTTTTTAAGTATAAATCTTTTAGTTGGACCTCAACAAAAGAACAAATTAAACTTATGTTGGCTTTTTATACCTTTCTATCTAATCCTGATCTGTGTATACAGTCAGGTCTAATTCAGTGTCTCCTTTATTTTTTTTTTTTAATCTCAAACACATATTCTAAAATTCAGTTATGCTCAAAGCTAGTTGTTTGAATGGTTGCCCAAGTGTAGAGTGGGTGATCTAATTCTCAGAATTGTTTTTTGAGGTAGGAATGTGTACTTCGAAGTCCATTAAACAATTCCATTACCTTTTGATATCTGTCAGAATTTAGATTTTCTGGTTTGTTTCATGCTTAAATTCAGTCACAGTGCATTTATTTGGTATCATTTGGTAATGAAGTTCTGAATGTAGATTAGTTTTGAGGATAATTCAACCCCTGAGTGAATTAATCATTTCGTTTTGGTGTCCCCATATCCTTTGACCACGCCTCCATCAACGTGCTCATTATATTTAATAGTAATTGTGTCCCTGAGTTTCTTCATTATCTTTGCAACTCCCTGAAGGCGCAGAATGTAACCGACTCACATTTATATCCCCAGGACTTAGTATAGTGCCTGGTACTTAGCAGATGCTTAAATATTTGTGTAGAATGACAATGTAAAAATTACAGTAAGTATTTTCAGCAATAGACTATTTTGATTTTAATTTTTCTAAGTGGGACACTTTCAAAACTAAATTTCATACAGGCTTTCTTCTTAAGCAGAATATATTGAACATAATTTCACCTTTTCTTGATCAGTTGGAACAAACACACACACAGACTAGCCACCATGATCTTCTTTGAGTTCCTCAGAATCAGTTTTTGTCCTCTTGTCCCAGAGCCTTTGTATGTGCCATTCCTCCTCCCCTAATGCTGTTCCTCTCTTCCCAACCCCTCACCCCTTCATTTCTGGCACAAAGAGATTTATCCTCTTTGTTCAAACTTCAGTTTTCTGAGGAAGCCTTCCTTGCTGGCTCTCCACCCCACTAACACTTGAACTAGACTAGGTTCTCCTTTATAAAACCCATGCTTTAATTTGATAATTCATAGCACAGGTTATAACTATTTACTTGCATAATTATTTTGTTCCTATCTTTTCTTCCCAATTCAACTCTAAGTTCCATGGCAGTGAAGTCTTTCATGTGTGGCTTACTGTATTCACTATAGACTGAATATTTTTTGTAGAATGAATATTTCTTGAGAGTCTCCATTACTATCCTGTTCTGTGGTACTAATATTGATGCCCTAAGTAACTGCTGATGTGTGTAGGAATTTTTTAAACCTTTACTAAATGGACCTAGATTACTTTAAAAAATTTTTTTTATATACTCTTTATTTTTTTAGGTCTTCAACATCATTTTCACGTCAGCTGTCCTTTGCTTTTATTGTCAATATTTATTTATTTAGTGTTCTTTCCTGCTCTTTTCATCCTTCACCCTTATACAAAAATGTAGAGTGAAGTAAATGATGTAAGACTAGAAGCAGGAAGGCAGCTAGGCATGATATTAGTCAGCAGCACATTAGGCTGTCAGTGACAGAAAACAGTAAGTAAAAAATAAGGGCTATTTTTCTCCCACAATAAGTGGTTCAGAAGCAGCTGTCATAATGATGTTGCCGGGGACCCAGGCTCTTTCAACCTTTTCGCCCACCATCCTTGACTGGTAGACAGTCACCGTCATGTTCTTCCATTTTCACAAGAGCAGAATGCTCCCGAGAATTCTCCAGTAGATTTCTGCCAGTGCTTTCTTCATCAGAGAAAGGCTGGGACGTGGCGTTGTTGGCTTTGTAGCCACTACGGTGGAGCAGGGGAAGAGAGAAGGGCTGGGAGGGAGTGTTGAGTGGATCAACCTGCAGGATCCTCCTCAAGGGACTAGCATCGTAATCCTGGCTGAAAGTCATCAGGGCTTGAACGAGGAGGGGACAGCAAAGATGAAAAGGGAATAATGGATATAAATGATATTTAAAGAGTTAATGTGTAAAACTCAGTAGCCAAACAAAAGAAAGCTGGAGGAATCTAGGATGATGAAGAAATTTCCTTTTGAAGAGGTATAATTTGTTTTAAACAGTATAGAATAAAAGGTAATATGGTCACTTCCCTCCAAACAATAAATATAATTTTAGTATATTTCTTTCCACTCCTTTTTATATGCATATTATATA